ATATTTGTGGATTGGACGACTTAATATCGTTAATATGGCAATACTACAATCTACAGATTCAGTGCAATCTGTATCAAAATTCCAGTGGTCTTTTTTGCAGAAATGAAAAAGCTGATCCTCAAATTCATATGGAATTACAAGGAGCTCTCCCAGTGCTTCCGTGTGTTCACCAACCTGGAAGTTCTCTGAACCCCATAATGTAGGGGTTTTAATGGAATCACCATTATGCAGACACCAGTGATTAAATCATTGGCCATTGGTGATTAACTTAACCTCCAGACCTTCTCTCCTCCAAGTGGGGCTGAACGTTCCAAGACCTGATTAGGCCTTTCTGGCAACCTGGTGCCATTCTGAAGCTATGTAGGGGCACCCAGCCACACCAGTCATCTTATTAGCATATGAAATGCACTCTTATCACTGTGGAGATTCCAGGGGTTTTAGGAGCTGTGTGCCAGGAGCTGGGCACAGAGACCAAATATGTATTTCTTAATGTATCAGACTCCTCAACAATAAAAAGAAGCAAACATGCAACAATACGGACGTATCTAAAAAGTTCATTTAAAATGAAAGGAGCTAAATCAAAGTGTGACCATGTAAAAGACTACATATTGTACTAGTCTAGTAATACAGAGTTTCTAGGAAAGGCAAACTAGGGAGACAGCAGATAAGTGGTTGGCTAGGGCTGGGAGTGGAAGCAGGATTGATTGCAGAAGGGCACAAAAGCCTTTTGGGGCGATGGGTGCTGGATTGTATTTGCACAACTGTACAAATTTATTCCAAAGAATCATTAAACTATACTTACAGTGGGTGAACTTTATAGTTTGTAAATTTTACCTCAATAAAGCTGTAAGTAAACAACAATAAAAACGATAGCAGGGTGAAAAAAATCAGTGTTCCGAAATCTAAGTGGCATCCTGGTCTTTGGATCAAGACAGGACCAACCCCTCTGCCTCTCCAAACTTCTCATCTCTCCATGCTAACCCCCTGCTTACCAGGCAGGTCAGGCACTCCCAGATGAAGTAGGATCCACCCTGCCCATCGCTTCTCCTCTAACACTCTTCACTCTCATTCCTTGCTAACTGCCTCTGCTCCTGGAGGGCAGGGATAGTGCCTGCGTTGTTCACCACTGTATCCCAACATCTTGTACAGGCCCAGCACTCAAGAAGTGTCTGTAAATGCTTAAATGAAAGAATAAGACCGGGGTGAACCCACATCTAATTTAAGGAATAGGGGTGGCAGTGGACTGTGTCTGGAAACAGCTGAGGAGACTGGGTTTCTGAGGGCTTCTGCTCAGCTGCCCAGGGAGGAGCAAAGCCCCTTCCTTCTGTTCTACCTATCTTCAGAATCAGAGTTTGACAGGGTTGCAAGGGAGGGCCTCTGGCCTTGAGCACAGAAATGCAACTTTATCTAAAGGAACTTCACCTCCTCTTCCCTAGGTGACTAGATGACATCCTGCCCTATTACCGATAGAGTCCTCTTCTGAAGGCCTTTCAGTGGGGGTTGTGTCATGAGGTGGTTGGTCCATCCCACCTCTTGGGGAGCCTGGGCTGAGAATGTACATGGCTCTGGACGGCCATGTAACATGCGGCAGGTGTCCCCACATCACACCTGGTTATTTCCCCTTCTTAAACCCAGCTCCCATCTCCCATCTACTTTCCCCCATGTAGCAGAATATCCCTGAATCTTTGCCTTTACCTTAGAAGATCCTTGCCATTCCTCGGAGAGCCTCTCTCTGAAGTTTCCACCCTCCTTTCCTGGTCTCCAGGCTTCACTGGGAAATGGGCGTGCCCTCTACGTTTCCTTTGTTTGGGGATGGAGAACTGAGCAGAAGGGACTGAGCCCAGGGTATCTCAGCAGAGTGGAAGAGCTGGAAGTCTGACAGGGAAACCTAGATTGGGCTAATTTGGAACCCTGGGGGCTGGAGAAGCAAGTTAATCTACCCACTCAAGCCAACCCTGACTCACAGGGAAGTGACTTCAAAACAGCTTTCATAACCCCACCTGGATGTTGGCCACGTTTCCCCTCCCAGCTCTGTCTTTGCGTCAAGCCACTCACTCTCTGATCCTCCCTTTTCTCATCCCTAACAAGGGGGAGAATGGAGTTTTGATGAAGAATAACAAGACGATCCATGTGTGAAAAGCAAAGAATTTGGAGCTGTAACATCAGGTGTTCATGTTGGCTTTGCTAATTTGCCGCACAAGCATGACAGGTCATTATGTTGTCTCTGGGCTTCAGCTTTCTTCTCTTTTTAATGAGGGGATTGAAGTAACAAGGTCCCCTTCAAATACTAATTCTGATTCCTTAAGAAGTGAAAGTATGGGGCAACAGAAGAGCTGTGTAAGGGTGTGAATGTAGACAAAAGACTAGAGTGAGAATGGGCTCTAGGCTCCCAGGTACAGCTCTGCCTCCTTCCCATCATCCCTAGGGTTGCTCACTAAGCTAGGGGTCAAGGGCGCCCCAAGAAGCCCTGTACTTAACACGGCCTCATCTCATCCATCCAGCACCAGACCAACCCCAAAGCGATTTTTTAAAGATTTTTTTTTTTTTAAGTAATCTGTAGAGATTACACCTAACGTGGGGCTTGAACTTAACCCAGAGATCAAGAGTTGCATGCTCTACTGACTGAGCCAGTCAGGTCCCCCCAACCCCACAGTCATTTTATCTCTGAGGCATGTGACAGCAGCTCCTCTCTTGGCCCTGCCTCTGCTCTCTTCTTTCCAATCTGGGCCCAACTCCCAAGCACAGTCCCTCGGCCCCACTGGCTGACTGGATAAGGATTTCTCCTGAGCTGTAAATGCTGTGGCAGAACTAACTTCTAAATGATGACCGCTGAGTCAAACCCAAATCCTGAGTGAAAACCAAACTTGACTGAAGAATTAAACCAAAGTTTTGTTTTAAATACCTTGTAAACTAGTTCAAACCTATACTCATTATCACACTGTTCTAGGATGTTCATGATGATTCTAAACTGTTAAAGATAGTTAAATAATGCTGTTTTACTTCTCTATTTCTGAAATTTCATAATTTTCCTTAATGAATAGGTCTTATTATAAACCCTTGATACTTCAATGTATATTTTCTAAGAGAAAGGATATTCTCTTACATAACCACAGTAGAGTTATCAAATTCAGGAGATTTAACATTGATACAGTACTTTTATCTAGAGTCCACATTCCAATTCATTTATTTTATTTTTTTAAAGATTTTATTTATTTATTTGACAGAGAGACACCGAGAGAGGGAACACAAGCAGGGGGAGTGAGAGAGGGAGAAGCAGGCTTCCCGCTGAGCAGAGAGCTTGACGCGGGGCTTGATCCCAGGACCCTGGGATCATGACCTGAGCCGAAGGCAGATGCTTAACGACTGAGCCATCCAGGCGCCCCCAATTCCTTTAATTGTCCTGCTGATGACATATTAAGAGCAGGGGCAGATCCCCCAGTCTCTGAGAAATTCCACTTTGTGTGTACATTCTTCTTTGAAGATGTTGAATCAGTTATAGGGATCTTTTACAGAGTCCAAGGAAGCTCCTTTTATCCATCACCCACTGTGGTTGAGCTGGGTTGACCAGTCAAAACTTGTATGTGTTGGGGGAAGGATAGAATTGCTAGATGGGTGCCTTCCAGATGAATCTGAGCTGTTGGTTGTCCCTGAAAGCACAAGGGTTGGTGAGGTGAGTCCACTTACCTTCTTAGCAGTACTGGCAATTGTTCTCTCCCTTCTTGAGTGAGGAATGACCTGCATTTAAGTTGGCTTTGTAACCAAATAGACTTGTCTTTGAGTTCCAGATTTTGTCACTTAGTAGCTTATGAACTTGGATGGGCAGATATAAAACAGTATCCACCTCACTGTTTTTCTAAGGATTAAATGAGATGATGCTTGTGACACAGCACTTGTGTCTGGTAACTATTCAACCCATTTTGGTGATTGTAGTTATATTACAAATGGGTAGCTCAAAGCCCAGATTGAGCCTCCTGGGTTCTCCTTGATATTCAGTCATCCCTACATCCTTTAGTAGTTTGCCCTCTCCATTTCTCGAAATTTTAAGGGTAATCAAGCTGTCCCAGGCACCTCTTAATGATTATCAGAAATCTCCCCACCAGAAGCAACAGATTTATTCCACAGCCAGTATCCTTAACTCTAGCACCACCTCGTGGTTGCCAGTGCAAACTCATCCTGGCTACTTCCGGAGTACCAAGGTTGGTAGTGCAAGGACCATCAGAGCAGCTCCCATCTGAACCCTTGCAAAGTGCCAGGCACTATATTATGCATTTCACATGCTTACTGCATTTAATCCTTAATCCTTATGGAGTAGGCATTATTACAGGTAGGGAAATTGCTGTTCAGAGACATTAAAATAATTTTCCAAAGTGTCACTGACATCCAAGATTTCTATCCCAGTCACAAGACAGGTTTGTTCACCATGATACTACCCTGATAGCATTAAGGCTGGAAAGGTTTAGATTCACAGACTTCCTTACCCTGGTGGGGAAACTGAGGAATAGGGACTTACCTGAAATCAGAAGGCCAACTCATGCAGAGCCAGAACCAAAGGTGTTTGTCCTAAGAGGTGACTCTTTGACCTGGGTTTTTTTTGTTTGTTTGTTTTTTTAAGATTTATTTATTTGACAGAGATATAGCGAGAGAGGGAACACAAGCAGGGGGAGTGGGAGAGGGAGAAGCAGGCTTCCCATTGAGCAGGGAGCCCGATGCAGGGCTCGATCCCAGGACCCTGGGATCATGAACTGAGCCGAAGGCAGACGCTTACCTGACTAAGCCACCCAGGCATCTCTGACCTGGGCTCTAAACTAAGCCCCACAATGAGCCTGCCAAGCAATTTTAGATTATACCTAGAACAGCATTCCCAGACAGGGTTTAGAGTTGATTATAAAAGAACCCTGGAGGTGAACTGTTTTCACGTGTACCTCTAGTTCCTGTTGTTCAGCTATGTCCTCAGCAACTTTGGCATCCAATGCTTCTAAACCCCTTGGCTGGGTCATTTCCTATGTCCCTGGAGGCAGAGTCCTATCAGGGTGGGACTTGGCAGGTGGGAGTCCCAGCAGGCGCTCACTCAAATTGGCAACAAGGGAGAAGCTGGCATGAGGCTTAAATTCCACCTTGGCACTCAGCCCTGAATCCAGTGTGCCGGTCTGGGAGCGTCACGGCATGAGAACCGAAGCCAGAGAACAAAAGATGGCAAGCGCTGCAGGCCCAGACAGGCAAACACAACAGCCCACATACCCAGCACTAGTGTGGGGCCTTCCAACTTTTGACTTCAAACAGCACGTAGGGATGCCATTAGGAAAATTATATACCTCCACCATGCACAGGCAAGTCTGCCCCTTCCCAGAGGGTGACTGGGTTTCATCAAGGCTATCTAAATCTGGCAGCATTACTGGTCAATTTTGTGAGATAGATTTCCTTAAATAGGGAGAAAGGAAATCATGCATCACACCTTGGTTTTTTAACTAGGCTCCCGAAAACACCAAATAGGAACTCTAAGTACTTCAATCTTTGAGAAAAGCAAATGAAAATTTGCAAACGAAATTCTCTTCTCTTGACCCAACCTGAAAGGCTTGCTCTTGGATGAGGTTATTACTCTCCTACCCAGTATACAGTATACCAGGTATGAGAGAACAAGGAGGCTTAGCTTCTGCTCTTCCATCTGGACCACCCAAAGGTAACCAGATGTAGAAAAAGGATCAACTGTGGAATTAGGCCTGGGGTAAAACCTGGCTTCACCACTGCAGAGCTGCTGCTTCATCTCCTCTGGCCTGTTTCATCTAAAATGGGCACACCATCTACCTCCATGAAATCTTGAGTTACATGGGATAACATACTCGAAACAGCTTTTTAAAGAAGGGGCAGGTTTCCCTTTGGTGCACATGTGGAATCGGGGAAGCTACAAATTAGTCTCGCCCCAGCAACGTGAACCTCCTTCTGATGTTGATTTTGGGATCATGACCTCAGGCATCTTTTGCATGTATCTTTCCATAGGCAAATGTAACAAAGACAACTAAAATCTAAGGCTTGAAAAGTTATGAGCTAATTACTAAATTTAACACACGCCTTGGAGAGCTCACTCATACTCTCTCCGTGGTTCAGACCTCGCCAGGGAACAATCCTAAAGAATCTCAAGCACACAAAGTGTATTCTTAAATATGGTTTAATACTCTTCTCCATTTCTGTACATCACAACACCAAGATTTCGCTGCTTAGGATCTCTCTGTAGAGGCTATAGAGAACGCAAAGGCTACGGTTTTCACCCCCTCTTATTTACGTGTTTGTATGTGTAAGTGTAATACATATCAGTATATATTGATACACACATCAATATATAATGCAATATATATCACCAAAGAGAACACATTGATTAAAGAAATACAAAAATTTGGCATCATTTCCAAACTTAAATAGTAAAAATAAAAACTACAAAAGGAGCTGCATACCCTAAATGTATCATGTGAAACAACAAGCATATTCAAAAATGTAAATTTACATCCAATTGCTCTGGTCTTGTCATATCACATTAGACCCATTTACAATGGCAAAACCCTAAGGTACTGCTGTGAAGAGAGCATGTTTGCTCGCTCTTGGGTGTTCTGCAAACAAACAGCAGAGCCCAAAGCAAAAGCCTGTTCCGGTGAAGCCTCCCACGTTGGTGAATACCAAAGAATTGACTCTTCTCACTGGGGGTTGAGACATCAGGTTATACATTGAAAGACAGTCAGTTGGACCTTAGAGTACAGTGTGAGAACCAGAAGCTTTACAGTTAAGACATACTCCCTTCATTCAAGTGAAACAGGATTATTGGAACGATAGGCAGGTCTGCAACCTGGGAACAAGGAGCTGGTTCAGACCAATAAAGCTACGAGTGACTGAGTCAAGTCAGTGAAGAACAGCAGTCAGGCACTAAAGTGTTAAAAGTACCCAATTTGAAAACCAAATGCACCCCACTACCCTATCAGTGTGGGAATAATACCAATTGACTTTTAAAACCTTTGGTCCTTCAAAGTCCATTTGGTATACTTTTTTTCATTGCTACCACTGGGCACATCCTATACACTTTATTCACTGTCACCACCTCGGGCACACCATGACCTTGCATGTCAGCTGGGGTCAAGTCCCACTTAGAGCCCAGCTGTGAAGCATAAGCTTCAGGTTTTCAGGCCCACTTTTGGATCCACCATAGTTAAGTCCTTGGTGCCAGAAGCTGTGTCCCATCCCTTCCCACCCCTGCCCTCCCTACCCTCCTCCCATAATTTCTCATATGAGAGGTGCTTGTAAGTCCCATATTTGAAACAGATGCTCCAACCCCACCAGGAGGTCAGGGGTTTATAATTACATGCACAGTCATACATGTCAGTCGTTCCTGTGAAAAACCTTGCAGTTCATTTTTAAAAAATCAAAACATTCACATAATCTCATGCCATCCAACACAAGGAAAACACGACCACCTCCCTTTTACCAAGGACAGACCCAAGCAAAATAAAGTATTTCTTAAATTTCTTTGTGTCCACTTAAATTGCATGTTTTATTTCTCCCAATCCCAGCAATAGCACAGAAGCCCCATCATATCCATCCCAAACTGGTTTCTAGTAGGCTAAGATTATGGGGACCCCTGTCAATGCAAGTGATGCTAAGGGTTCCCAAACCCTGGGCACAAATGCGCCTGCAAAACAGATGGAAGGAAACCATGCACTTGGCCCAAATGCTTCATGTCAGTTTGACTTTGCAATGCAGTTTGCATCCTTGAAACTGACAGGCTGGAGGGGGAGGAGTAGTGTGAGGGAGTGAAGTTGAAATTGCCTCCTATTAGCTCACCCTTTCAACATTAAACAGAGACCGAGAGAGAAATGGTTCCGACATTTCACCGCGTGTATTTCTTCTTATGCAGTCTAAGCTGAGAATGCCATGTAAATGGGTCACTGCGAAATGCAGCAATTTAATTTTTCTCCAATCAAAATAAGAAACAAACCAGTATGATCTCATTTCTATTAACTTTTGAAGGTTTACAGCAGTTAAAGTATTTTTGATTCTATGTATGAAGGTTAAAAAAATCATTTTTTTTTTTTCATAAAATACAAGAGCAACCAATTTCACCATCGAGTAAAAGTAAAAACTGGGATTCTTTTTTAAATTAGTCCAAAGTGGCATTTTAGGAACTTAGTTGTATGCTGCTGCGCTGACACCATGACAAACCAAAGTGTAGGGTTGGGTCTGGTTTTGTTTCGGTTTTCTTTTCAATATCCAATGCTCATGGATTAAGTTCTGGAAATGTTCCAATTGTAAGGCAGGGATCTGTTTGGATTCCACCATGGGTATGCTCCTTGGGTTGGATGCTGGAGGGTGAGGCACGTTTTGCCGGACCCATGTCGACTACCTAGTAGTCATCAAGGTCAAAAAATTCATCATC